CTTGTTGGAGCTCCTGCCCCCCTCCCTGTGAGCCCAGTGTGCTCTGATTGGTCGGGAAGTTGCGAGGCTCGTTGCTGCGATCTGCTGCGAGGAGCGGACAGGCTTCCGGGTCGGCGAAACAGCGAGAACAAGCGAAACTCATCCTGAGCACACACAAACACTCACAGCCGAAGTAAAAACAATAAGTGTGGCTTGATATTGAGTAAGAAAAAGGTTTATAACGCTGTGAGAATGGGTCTGCGGAGAGCATTTCTCCGCAATCCCAATTTAGCAGCCCGAAAAACGTTTACCCATTTAAACAGTCGTGGTAAATACCTTGTTTGTTTTAAACATCATAAATACACAAACAACAATGAATACCTACAGGTTGTGTACCCGAATCTCCCGCTGGTCCAAACAAAGTAGGAACAGCATCGTTCTTCAGTGCCCTACACTGTACATATCCGGCATGAATCGCTGAAAGGTTTGTGAAGCTTTGTTTTGAAAGGCTGGGAGACGGTGCGGACATAGCCCTAGGCGTGGCTACTGGGTATCCCTACGTAGCGATACCCAGGAAGAAAAGTTGAAATCTCCAACGAGGCGTTTTGGAGAGGTCTTTTCTGTGTTAGTTTTACTCGCTACAGGGTGTACTTAGAGGGGTTTTGACTCTGCAGACCGTTTACATGCATACTTCATAACACACAAGGGGACAGGTAATAACCGGAAAAGCATGACATGGGACCTTTAAAGTTGACAGGATCAACAGATCAGTTCTATAGAGCTGTTAACGTTTTCTCAAACTGTCTGGAAAGAAACTAACTACTGATATCCTTTTCCCGCCAAATAGACTGTGTATATGGAGGAAATACCTTCTGCAGGTTTAGCAAACAAGAAGAAAGTGGTGGATACTTTATAATTAGGCCTCTTGCTTATTTCATCTCTCTTCAAAACTCTAGATTGGTGATTCATAATTTCAACGTACGTCACATAGCATCTGAAATTGGCGGGTCCTCCCTGATGTCACGTTCCTGGCAGGTCTTTTTCCAGCGCATGAATACTGATTGTAGCCTCTCCCGCTGCAATCACGTGACCCCAGTTTACACGTAGTAGCAGCCCCCTCGAGAGTATCCTCTGACACATGGTGTGTTGAAGTCTGCCAGCTCCACCTACATACTTTACATGTTGAGGTCTAACAATGTGGGCAGATTAAACAACGCTGGAAACACACTAATCCAACACAGTGCAGATAACACCTATTCCTACATGCAAGGAGTAACTTTAGTGTGTATGGTTTACAGCTGTGTGTGTGTGTGTGTGTGTGTGTGTGTGTGTGTGTGTGTGTGTGTGTGTGTGTGTGTGTGTGTGTGTGTGTGTGTGTGTGTGTGTGTGTGTGTGTGTGTGTGTGTGTGTGTGTGTGTTTAGGCAGTCTTTGGTCTCTGCACCGGCACTTGCAGGAAGACATCTGCCTTTTCTAATTCTGTCCCTGGCATGTGACAGTAACTGGGCAAGCGCAGATCGTAGCGGTGGCCGGAGCAGTCGAAAGCCTTGTCGTTGAGAGAGTACAGCTTATCTGTGATATCGTTGCGCACAACCAGGGCAAAGATCTTAGCAATGTAGCGATGTTTGGCAAAGAGCAGATAGAGTTTCTTCCTCCTCCACACCACATATCTGCAGGGGTTATCGGCACGCAGCGTCACCTGTGGAGAGGCAAACACACAGTACATGATAACAAAGAGGTGAGGCTGACAGGAAACATGCTGCCAATCATGTGTCAGTCAAAGGAGAACTCCACTTTATTACAATGTGGGTCTTATCTCGTAGTTTTGCCCATAGTTTAAGCAATGGCTGTGATCGAGAACAGATGGTTGTAATAGACTGGACATATCCTTTAATGGGAAAAGATAGGTAGGACAAAGAGAGTAGTGCAGTGTGGGCCGGTTTGGAAGTTATCCTCACAAAACGTTCCCGTCAAAAAGCAATGTAATATTTCATTGGATTGGGCTTCTTAAATATAATCACAGGAAGTAAATAGCTAAGAAAACTACATAAAGGTAACATGACTTCACATCACCTAAGCTAACACAGCTAATGTTTTTGACATTATGACGTTACTGGTTATCAACCAACATTTTTAAGAAGCTTTAGACATTAACCAGTGGGGTTTTTACTGACTTGTTTTATGTACTCGAACAAAACGAGGAAATTGTGTGAACCACAGACCCTACTTCAGAAATCTAACCAAAGAAACCTTGAAAAACCACTGACTCCAAGACGAGCGACCAAGAAATGCTATAATGGAAACTCATATCAGGGTTTAGGACTCATTCCTTCTATAATCCATAACAATGTTAATTATCAAAGTCTGATCATTCGTGGAAGGGACAGTTTTGTTGGTATGCATGGGCAAACATTAGAAAAATAATTGATATTGGCCGCTAAATGCCCCAAAAGATAAAAATAAACGTTCTAAGATAAACTAGTGTGTTCACCACTTTGGCCCATTGGTGAGTTTCTAATAAGATGAGCAAGTGTTGAAGTATCCAGTGACCATTCACAAGACCAGGACCCAGGCGTGGCTCTCTAAAAATAGAACGCTGTTATCGTAAATGCTTTTCATTTAACCTTACGTGTTTCACAACATGACATGTCAAATTTGCTGTTGTGACGAAGAAAATAATTGTAACAATATATCAGAATTTGCACACACACACACACACACAATAATGTTTATAGGAACCATTTCATTTACTAAGATTGATTGGGTAAATACAGAATTTGGTGTGTAAGCCTTATCCTTAAATCAGTGTAGTATGCTTTATTGGCATGAATGTAACAAATTAGTCATTTAGGTTAAGCTGATGGTGTCATAAAGGTGTATGAATCTAAAATGTGGGTTCCAGGCATAACAGTGTATGGTCGCAATGACATTCCTGAGTTATTAATAACTGAGATGTGTTTTAAAGGTTTGTGTGTTCAATTGACCTGGAAAACCCCCTCCTCCGATGGTCGGAGAGAGTCCCACTCAGGTGAATCCAGAAACTGGAAGGGGTAGATGTAATGCAGGAACTCTCCGTTAACCGTCACACAGACTCTGTAGGAGAACGGAGGGACAGGTGGCATTACTCATCCCCCTTCCAATAGAAAACAATATTAGAAGAAAACAGTCAGGGTGCAGCAGGAGTGAAAGTCAACGCAACAACTGTACACACAACAACACTGTGTTCGTGCCCAGCTTATCAGTGGGATGTCCATGCAATAGCTTGAATTACTTTTTGGTTTTCATTTAGGTTACTTTCATTCTTCCTAATTAAAAAAAACATTTCATTAACAATTATTTATTCTCTCTAGTATGTTTTTGCACTTCATTTAAGATTGACGTAATCCAAAAGTAATCAGGTTAAATGACTTTAGTATGTGCAAGTGTGCACACATACCTGTGTGTATTTGTAGTGTGTGCGTGTATTACAATATGTACAAAGAGTGGAAAACTGAATCTCCCCCTGGGGTCCAATAAAGGTTCATCTTTATGTTAATATTTTGATACTCAGATAAGCTTACTGATGACATTATACTAAGTTACAGTAATTGTAACAGAACCAACCAGCTAATGCTCCTTATGGCAAACTAAAGTGTGTGAATATTAATGCAAAGATTGACAGAATCTGCCAAAGAATAATACCTTGTGATGTTTAAAATATACATCCCTTTAAAAAAAGTTTCTGCTGTTGTAAGAGGACACAAGTCAGCTTAAAAGAACCATACAATTACAAATGTATATTATTCACCACATTTTCTGAGTTAAATGTTTAAACAGACTTCATCTTAACCAACACATGTTAATTCATTTTAAAGAGGTTTTATGATGAAATAAAAACACTATTTTCTCCCAGAATTGGATATGTCAAATATTATAAACAGCATTGCTAATCACCAATGAAGCCAGTGGAAAATCAGAAGGACCAGTGCATATAGCAAAGTAAGAAAATTACTCTAGATGGAAAATAGTGAAAAATATAATTTTGAATTCCAATGTAAAGTATTTAATTTGACTTTGAGTTCATTATTTCATTTAACAGGTACATATTTCACCTATTCCTGCATTTAACTTGCACCATTGATTCATTAGCATTTATGTTGTTTCTCTTTATGTCTTAAAAGTATGTTGCTTGGAGGAGCCAGAGACTTCAGACTCTGCAAACATCTATGAAGTAGCTATTGGGCACATGACAGTAACACTTTGTAATATTTTAATATTAGAATGCATTCTATGCTTTATTGTCTTTTGGTTTTATTGGCTTTAATGGGGACATGTTTAAACCTACATTTCTAGGGGAGGGCTGAGCTTGGGCCCCCTACAAATGAAGAGTTTATGATAGCATAATTTGTGATAGATATCCATTTGTGATAGATACTAATTATTAGGGATGCACCGAATATTCGGCCACCGAAAATTATCGGCCGAAAATGGTTAAAAAGGCCCTTTCGGTTAGCACCGAAAAAATATCACCGAATGTCAGAGAACAGGGTTACGTTGATCATACTCCGCATATTTGTCTGGGTGTTTTGATTTCAAGTGGTGGAGTAATCCCGAAGTGGTGAAAGTCTTTGCAGTTACACCCCCTCGAGAAATGTCAGCTGAACACGTTTTACAAATCGCAATCCGCGCCTCTTTCTCTGATATTTTGAAATATCTCCAAGCGGCAGACATGTTGGCTGTGAGCCAGCCGCGAGGATGGTCGCGCGCCGTGCTTGTCGCCGCGTTTTGATTACGTCATCACAACAACACGTTAGGTTACCAAACTTATAGGTGCATTTGTTGTTGTTGAAGGCCTGGCTGTTACAGTCTTTATTTACACTATTTTGTTGTAGGCCTCCCGGCCTAGATGTTTATGCAGTTTTAAAGCACCTTGGCTTTGTTCTGAATGCACTTTGTTGTAGTTATCCGACAGAGAAAAGAAAATGCACTTGACTTGGAATTAATGTACTGTATGCATTCAAAAGTGCTGAATAAATGTTTTATGGACCCATAATAGTGATTATTATTTAAGTTTTGCCATAATCATGTCTTTTTCCATAATCAGGTAGCTGAACAACATTGGTGAAAAATGTATACATTATATATATATATATATATTAGGGCCGGGACTTTAACGCGTTAATTAAGATTAATTAATTAAACAAAAATTAACGCATTTTTCGGCCTTTCGGCATTCGGCCAACTGTTTCCTATTTTCGGTATCGGCCAAGAATTTCCCATTCGGTGCACCCCTAATAAATAATACATATGATTTTGGAAACATAGGGAACTACTGCATAGATAGTTTGTGTTAGTTCACCTGATATCCTGAAAGGGGACAAAGTCCTTGTCCACAAAGGCCTCGTTGATTTTGGCCAAGATCTCCATGCCTTCTGTCACTTCCCCGAACACAGTATGGACTCCATTCAGGTAATCCAGGTTGTCAGCCATGGTAATAAGGAACTGAGGAACAGAATAGCAGATTGTCATGGATGCATAAAGTCTCTCCATTCACCCATTACCATTGACCATGGTTCAGTACAACATGATTAAATAGTGCTATATATACACTCATTCTATTCTTAATTGTGTATAAGAAGACCTGATGATGTATGTGTAGTAATCAGCTGAGTTATACAAGTTCTTTTTAACTAGGCTGATCATTTTCTGTTGCTTCTGCTCTGGAAGCTTTTTAAAACAAGCAGGGCAAACAACAGTGTGATCCTTTCTTTTTCACCTGAGAACCATGCTGGTTGTTTCCGTTGTTCACCATGGACACCGTGCCCTTCTTCCTGTGTTTGATACGTGGTGCTTTCTCTGCATCAAAAAAGCCAGCCTGGTCCCCATAGAGTTTGCTAATCACACACACACAGAACAGAAAATGTATCAGTGTTCAACTTGCAGTGTGAAAGAAAGTCAACAGTGGTGATGAAGAGGACTGACCTATAGACAGCTTCTCCACCGCGCCCTGTCCCAGTGGGATCTCCAGTCTGCAAGATGAAGTCTCTCTGAAGAGGACACAAGGACACGTTACTAACACAGCTTCAAATTCATGATGAGACAGGATGTAATGTTACCTGGACATTGTGGATGAGACAGTGTGTAATGTTACCTGGACATTGTGGATGAGACAGTGTGTAATGTTACCTGGACATTGTGGATGAGACAGTGTGTAATGTTACCTGGACATTGTGGATGAGACAGTTGTGTAATGTTACCTGGACATTTGTGGATGG